GATAGCTAAGACATTGTATCAGCAGGAATCTAATGGTCGCACTGATTGGCCATGGCCCTTTAATTATTTACAGGCATGGTTTGAGAAATGAACATCTATTGTACTTGCAATTATACCTTCTGTCATACTGTTTGCTCTCCTGTGTATATTTTGGTCCTCTAGTATTACCACTAGAGGAGTGGCAGGGTCCAGGGAATCCTTATGACTCTGACAACGACGACAAATAATATGGTACAAACGTGATTGTTGTATCAAAGGGGGGAGTGTGAGAGAAAAATCCAAATGTAATATGACAGTAGTGAATGTTATGTATATGTATGATCTCCTAGCAATACAGGAATGCACTAGGCCAGTGGGAACCGTGTGTTCAAGGTCGGATGATAGCATCAGGCCCTAAAAACACCTGTGAACGGTTTTGAGAAACCAAGGCAACTAAACAAAGGATAAAAAGAACTTTAAGAAGAGGCTTGGAGGAGAACTCCTGAGGTATCTCCCCAAGCCTGTGCTGTAAGATACCACAATAAGCTGAAGGCTGAAAAGACTGTTGTGGTTTTTCCTTCCCCGCCAAATCAGTAGTCAGAAGCCGCTGGTGTAGATCCAAATTCAGTCTTTATTGCAACAATGAAGTTACAACCAAGGCCGGACACTTAAAGTGTGTCCATTACTGTTTTACATCAACTTTTATACATTTTCTCATTGTGTAACAATATCTCGCCACTTAAGCATCATCATTCCCTCGACCATTCACCATCGTTGTTTTCTCCCTTAATCCACGCCCCTATATAAGTTTTGTCAATCATCCCTTTTACTGTTTGGTACCTCGGCTGAACATAAGGGTGACGTGGCCATCTCTACTCAGTTTTTTTTAAATGCCCAGTCGTGAACTTTTTGGTGAACTCAGGTGAACCCCTTCCTTCAGTAGCAAACCTTGGCAGCTTCTGCTTGTTGCAGATTGCCTGGGTAAGTGGTTAATAAGATATTTGTCCTTCTACATAGTGATAAGGTGCAGCACTAATAAAGTAAATACTCATACATCAAAGGCTAACAAAATAGCTAACAGATACAGAACTTCTAAGCCAACACCAGGTGCTCATTTATACTTGTTTTTGTCACATTGTGCACTGCAGTAATTGGTCTGCCTTCTCTAAAGATTACAAGGTCAGTCTCTACAGAGTGTACATCAGCTTTTTAAAAGAGTCCTAATGATTACATTCTCTATTCGTTATGAATATACTAAATAATATTCCATAAGACTTTACACTGTCCTGAGTCCTACATCATGAAATTTCCACAACAGATTTGGGGGCTCGTTCGGGATCGGATGAACGGGGGCCGTTGACACCAAGACGGACACGAGTCCAGAAGGACAACGAGACGCTCGTTTGGAGTCTAGAACAACCAATTGTATCTGACCCATCGTGATTCCTGAGGTGGACGGTTCCCCGTCACTCCGACCGGACTCAGGTAGGACCAAAAGGTGTTTGGACAGCTATATGTGTGGATTGTGATATCTTACTACAAAGGAAATAGACTAACCAGAAGGGTCATTAAATAAGGTGTTAAAACTGCAGACCTGAGGGTTCCGACCCCAGGGGACGTCCGGCTCAACCAGGAAGGGGTCGAGGGTAATAAGTTGACCGGGAAAAGGTCAAAGGGCACAAGTCGACCAGGGAGGGTCAATAGATAGATACATTACAGTAATATAGGAGAAGCATCTTCTTGTTCACTATGTGATGTCTATAGTCTGGGTGAAACATTTGACGTGTCACACTTTTAAGGATTGGAGAAAGCAGGGAAAGGAAGGTTAAAAAAATCCATTGCAAAGGCATAGAACTAAAGTTGAAACAAGAATAACAGGTGCATGTGGGTGGCATACGTAAATATTTGTGTGTAAGAGATTAACTTGCAACAAAGTAAAAGCTTATAGTGTGTCTGTGTGTGAAAGGCTGGCTTGCAACGAAGTAAAGGCTTAAAGCGCCCTAACAATTCAGCTGAAGCATGCTGTGTGACAGGTGAATAGAGATGGGAAATAAGGCAAGTAAAAGTGAATGGGGACCGGATCCAGCTTATGATCCGGAGGGAGAAAGAGCATTTGAGAGAGAGATGAAGAAGTATGCGAGGAAACAAATGCAAGGGATAACGTGTAGAGAGGTGGTTGAAGGAAGAACAGGAAAGGATTATGGCAAATTGTGTGCTGAATGGAATGTAAAGACAAATGGAGAGTGGCCACGGGATGGTAGCTTTGATCCTGCCAAGCTGAGAACAGTGCGTATGAAGGTGAAGGAAAAGGGAGGCTGCTGTGGTTGTTGTAAAAGCACAGAGAAACCGACTGAATATTTGGATATGTGGGAAAGAGTGGCCCAGGATATTGTGGGAGAAAAAGATAGGCTGAAAATGGAAGGATTACTGCGAAAAGTGAGCGAGGAAAAGGCAAAGGCACAACAGGCAACCAGAAGTTTAGCGATGTTAAGGAAAGAGAAAGAAGTAACTGAAGCAGAGAGTAAAAAGCATGAGAAAAAGGAAGAGTTGCTTGTGTACCCAGCTCTCCCCACAGCTCCTGTGTACCCAGCTCTCCCCACAGCTCCTGTGTACCCAGCTCTCCCCACAGCCCCGCCGGCCCAGCATGAACAGCAACAGCCTTCGATGCTCCAGCCCCCGCCCCCTCCCATCACAGATCCTCCTGCATACAAGCCGAGGGAGGAGGAGGGCGCAGGGGGGGGAGAAGCAGGGCCGCGAACAGGAAAGCAGTGGACACAGATGAGAGATGGCTCCCCGAAAGAAAGAAAGAAGAAGCGGACAAAGTGGGACTCAAGTGAAGAATCCAGCGATCCTGAGGAAGAGGACAGTGATGACAAAACAGGGCTAAAGAGAAGCCAGAGACTGGCAAGAGAAGACAAAGCGGACAAGAAAGGTCAATACCCTCTCATCCAGATGCCGAAGCCGAGGACTGGAGGGATGGTGCTAGTCCAACAGAACCGGGACTTAGCTCGTCCATTACATCTGCTAAAACACAGACAAAGTATTATTTGTGATGCTATCAAGGAAGCTCTTGTGGCTTTGGGCACCGAACATTCCATTTTGAAGGGACAGGGTTATACAGCACCTGATGGATTGTGGGGGAAAATTGTGACTGAATGTGGTGAGGTCAACACCTTCAAAAGACGCAGACATTATTATTGCTGCTGGAGAAGAAGACCCACTGAAACAGGAGATCCAGATGATGATCTGGATTTATCTCCAAGCCGGTCTCCGCTGTCTCCATCTTCCAATTCCAAAGAAGCCCATCCTGCTGAAGCCTGCTGTCTGCCTGACACTAAATCTGACAGTGAAGAAACATTATCAGTAACATCTATGCACCACACAGAGGTGCCCCTTCAAGTGTACTGCATAAAACACAACCCAATATCTGTTGACAAAGCAGTAGAACTGCTTCGTCATGTCAATAAGCAGAAAGTGAGCACACTCCCACCCACAAATCCCAAGTCAGGAGAAGTGTATATGTACATGTATCAAGGTGAGCGTGAGATGCAAAACTGGAGAGCAGATCATATCAGGTGGAACATTAGGGGAACAAAGACCCTCTGGCACCCACTTGGCCAAGTGAAAATTCTCTATTTCTTGGTAAGGAGTGAAGGGAAACTCTTCAGGAAAAGGTCATACGAGCTGGTGAACAAGCCATACTTCTTGATTCAGTATACAGGAGATGAGGAGGCATACATACCTAAAACACACGGAAATTCAGAAGAGTCTCAGCGACCTTTTGTGCAAACTGCCCCTAGTATCATGAAAATGATCAAAAGTGAGAAGGATCTGCCTCCATCGCAGGTATACCATGAACTGATCAATAGACCATTACAAAGCAAGCCCCATCTAGACACTCACTTTCCCAGGGACATGAGTCAGGTACAAAACACTGTCAAACGTGCTCGACTGGACAGCATGCTCGACCACCATGACGTATGTGCTACATACATATTATGTGAGTACCTGAAAGATTTTGTACAGGACATGTGTGTCTATCCACAGGTGTCCGTCGTGGCAGTCCTTCCTGAAATGATTGCTGAATTCAGGCACATGATGGCCAACACTGAGCACCCACATGTCCCGCATGTAATTCACTATGACACCACATTTAACTTGGGCAACTTTTATGTTTCACCATTGCTGTACCGCCACGCCAGTTTTACAGGAGTGTCCTGTAATTCCACTGGCATTTCTGCTACATCAAAACAGGACAGAGAAAACACACTCAGCATTTTTCTCTGAATTGGCCAACATTCTGCCAGAACTCAATTCTCACCAGTTTGTCATATGCACTGACCGTGAGACTGCCATTGATAATGCCATCACTCGAACTCTTCCTAAGTTTTACAGGGTAAACTGCTGGAATCACCTCCTCCGGAATGTCAGGTACCAGATACAGAAGCTGAGTGAGCAAAAAGATGACGAAGAAGTGTATGTTGAAAATATCAGACACATTCTTCAGTCCCAGACTGAAAAGGAATGGAATTATAACCTAAAATGGTATTCCATGATCTGGAGTTTGGCGTTTGAGGAATACTTCAGAGTTAACCTCGAAGCGGATGTAAAAAGGAGTGCAACATTTGCCCTCAGAAATCTAGGACTTATGCTCTCTGAAATAACAGAGAATGCCTCAGAGAGCTTCAACAACACTCTAAAACAAATGGTTGAATGGAAGGAGGTTCGACTAGAAAAAATGGTTTGGTCTTCATTCCACCTTCAAACATATTATGTAAATGAAATCATGAGAGGCCAATGCAACGTCGGCAGCTTCCACCTGAAAGACCCCTCCATTGCAGTCACACCTGACCAACTTCACTTTCCAGACAATGTTCTTTCACTGGAGCAAATTGTGGGCCTATATAAGAAGAGTTCCACCCAAGAACAAAACATTAAGGCTTTGGAGTCAGAAATGTCAACAAGGCAGTCAATGGCAGAGCTCATAATAAACCAAAATAAAATAACATTAGATCCAAAGTCTAAATCATTCATAGTGACAGGTTGGAGAGGAGACAAATACATGACCTCGTTGGCACCAGTTGAACACTGTTCTTGTAATATGGCACAGGAATGTTGTCATATTCTTGCCGCCCAAATGGCACTTGGGTTTGAACAGAAGAAACCCCAAAAAACTTCCTTCCAGTTAAAAAAATTGGTGAGGAAAGTTGGGAGGAGGAGGAGATCTGGGTTGAAGGGGCCAACGTCAGAAGGTACAGTGTTGCCAGCACCAGATTCCCAGGCTAGTCAGGCGATTCCACGTGAGGTAAGAGCTCAAACACACACATTTCACATTTGTTTTTCCAACATCTACATTGATTAACGCTTCACGTTTAATATTATAGTCACAATCAAGCACTGCCACACAGTATGGTGGCATACTGGAACCAGATGTCCCAGGACACATGAGTAAAGTAAGACCAAATGTTGCTTTTACTCTTTCAATAATGGTTAAAGTAAGCATTGCTATCATAATAAGTCATTGTTAAGGAAATTGTCACGCACTACATTAAGAATTGGTATGGGCTATTCTTTCCCTTTCAGTGACTAATATGTGCAATGATTTTTACTGTAATGAAAGTAATACACTTTAAGTGACTTGAGTATAAACCATAACGAACTTAAACATATTAGACTGATACCACAGATACTCATTTGGATGTAGTTTGGGGAAACCTGCAGGAACCATCTTGATACCATTTCATTTATTCCTGGAGAGTTAAAATATGTGACATGGAAAAAGGTGAGAAGAATTGTTGCCTCAATATATGACTGATTCTGTAAGTTGTGATTGCTAAGAACCGTATTAAAAGTGTAACTGAAGAGATCAGAAGGTTTCTGAACAATGATTGATGCTATGCCCATTGTAATTTTTCTACAAAGTCTGTATAGAATCTCTGAGCACTTACACAAGTAACTCTGGTCTATTAATAGGTTACAGAACTGTGGTCCAAGAAACCAAACAACACTGTGGTAGCCAGTCTTGACAACAGTGCCATGTCCATCATCCGTCATACAGATTTTCTTTCGCTCAAGCCTAACAACTGGCTTGTTGGAGAGGTATGCTTCAAGGATCATGCTCAAACACAGTGATTGCTGGAACTGTTCAACTGCATATATTAAGTCCATTGTTTACCAATAGACCATAGATTTCTATCTCCACCTAATGAAGAAGGAGATGGACCTGGAAAACAATGTCCTTGTCATGGATCACTTCTTGACTGGGGCAATTTTAGAGGGCAGACAAGATATTCAAAAAAAGCATCTGCTGAAAAGGGTAAGTGTGAAAGTCAGTGTATGAGAACAATGTATTTAATACATATCACCATATCTTCCATGTCAGATTTTCATATGGAATACAAGGCATGGATACATAGTGAATTTCCACCCTACCCTTATTTCTATGAAGCAACACAGATGGATCTAAGATACCTGCATCTAACAGTACTACATATACAAAACAAAATCACTGCAATTTGTATGTTGGTGATACTTGCCAGCCATTTTCTACTCTGAGAACTGTGTTTATATTTCCAGGTATGTCTGGAAAAATGTGGGGCTATAATCGGTGCATGGAATCTTCATCACAATCACTGGGTTCTTGTGGTAAGAAGACAGTTGTGTAAACAAAATGTGCATTTCTTAATTACATGTATTTATAAAGGGTTATACGGTAGAATTACTCAACCACAAAATGCTTTATTTCATCTCCACTTTAGTACCTAAATGTCAACACACACACTGTGGTGCTTCTGGATCCACAGAAGGACAATGAGATGGTGGAATCAAAAGTAGCTGCTGATTGCTTTAGGTAATGGACAGTAACTAAAAACGGGGTTGTGGGTTCAAATGATACCTCCAGCATGACCATTGGATCCCTGAGCATGAGCCTGAACCCCAAGTAGCTCCAGGGAGACTGCTTGTGAAGTTCGGAAATGGAAGTAGCTCTGGACAGTAGGATCTGCTGAATTCTGTATATGTAAGACTAGATGGTTAAATATACAAATTGCAGTCCTACATTCTGTTCTCTTCCTAATAAAATTGTCCTATTTTTCCAGCAACTTTTTTGCCCTACGTAATGAGCGACTTAAAAAACAGGAGCTGTGTGGGAAAAATTGGAAACCAGCCACAGTTGCACACACATTACAAAAAGACAGCTGTAGTTGTGGGGTCTTTGTAATGGAAGTGAGTATTCGCACCACAAGGATGTTTCTGTACCAGTACAACTTTCATTTAATGTGATGAAAGGTTCTATTGTTGAATAACCCCAAGTAAACTTTTGTCAACAGATGGGCAAGCAGCTTATCAACAACTTTCCTCGGGTTCCCAGTTACATCATCATTCCAGGTGACATCATTCAATGCCGGGAGACTATGGCGATGGAAATACTCAGTGGTTCAGGTACACTGCAAGTAGTGGCCTTATGTTCTCTGTCTTCAATCAAGAACCATATCTACACTATCCCTGACATGATATTATTGTTGGCTTGCAAGTCGTACCTGTAACGTCTCCCACTGCTGTCTGCACTCCACCTGTGTCGGTACCATAGCCTTTCAGTGCTATGCGCTGTGAGGCATAGGCACAGAGCTCAGCCCCTGGTCACAGGAGTTCAAATGATGATAGTAAATGTCTGTCTGCCCCTTTGAAAGGCCCTTTAGCTGGTTTCCACACTTTGGGAGTCAGACTAGTCAACTTGTACAACAACCCACACAACAGGCTGAATGGTTGTGTGGCAGACACAACTGCTAACATGCACAGAGAAGTAAAGACTTCATGTGTATTACAATGTCCTTATCAAAAAGTACAATTATAACTAGTAAAATAAAGGAGGAGAAGGAATCACTCATTTGTATGAGACAAAGTTAACTGGAAGGCTGTGTGAAGTATGCTTGGCAAAGTTAGGGAATATGATGAATATATGTCTGCCAACGATTTGGATTCATGCTTTTATTCACCTACAGTATCTCTTGAGGAGGCTTGCCAATGGTGTGGACGCTTTCCAGACACAGATTGGGATGGTGACTGGGTAAGAACTATCAATGCACTTATAGATGCATAGAAAAATACAACTATTTGTTGTTGTATTGTATGTTGTCAATCTTACTATAGATACTTTGCGATGGATGCGAGAGATGGCAGCACCGTGTCTGTGTAGGCATGAAAAAGGAGCAATTTAAAAATATAGCACATGTGATGTGGCATTGCACAGCCTGTGAAGAGGAGTCTGTCATAAAGCAGCAGCGTACTTCAGGGTCTGAACCCAAAATGTGAGTGTTGTCCGGGTGCTACACATTGGTGGTGGTTAAGGTGGCTTGGCACATGACTGTGTATATAAGACTAATGGTCACGCTTTGTGCACAATAATGCAGTTTAAATGGGTTTCTCCCAGTGGATACCTTCCACTGTGTTCACTGTCTTAATTGGAGGAAGACGCAGAGTCCTATTTCCCCTCAGAAAGCGTTTAATTGACGGATATTCCCAAGCTGTCATCGCTGTGGACAAGCTGTATGTTAATGAGCAGTTGTATCAGGACCGGGATACCACCCCCTGGCTCTACTAATCCAAAATCAGGTGATTGCTATCCAAATTGACTTAGCCATCAGACATGTCTTCATGAAAAACATTATCTCCTTGTCTCAACAGCATAGTGTGAGGTAAAATGTGTCAAAAATATATCATTGGTATTTGCACTATTACTATACTTTTGTCCTTTTTTTACATTTGTCCTCATTTCTTTCTCTTTCTCTTCTCTCTCACCACAACAGCTAGCCGCCCATATGGTATTTAATGCAACAGTTTGCATAACTGCACCCCACACAGCATACACGCAGAAACAGCACAGTGTCAGACCATTCACACAGATGCACAGACTGACGCAGACTCTTGCACAGATAGACACAGATATACAGGATATACATAACACACGCACATACATGCACACATACAGGCATTCATGTGCAACCACATACATATACGCACACACACACACTTTAGCAAGCCCCTCACATTCGGTTAAATTACTTCAAATATGAACACATTACAATTTGTCACTTGGAATGTGCGTGGCATGGGTTCCAGGGGAAAGACATTTACAGTTGTGCTCAAAAGTTTACATACCCTGGCAGAATTTGTGATGTTTTGGCCATTTTTCAGAGAATATGAATGATAACACAATAACCTCTCTGTCACTCGTGGTTAGTGGTTGTGTGAAGCCATTTATTATCAAACAATTGTGTTTGCCTTTTTTACGTCATAATGACAACAGAAAATACCCAAATGACCCCGATCAAAAGTTTACATACCCTAGTTCTTAATACCTTGTACTTTTCATCATGGGCATTGTTGAGTCCTCTCCAAATGTAACGTTTTTGGTTGTGGCCAAAAAGTTCAATTTTAGTCTCATCACTCCAAATAACTTTGTTCCAGAAGTTTTGAGGCTTGTCTCGGTGCTGTTTGGCATATTGTAAGCGAGCTATTTTGTGGCATTTGCGCAGTAATTGCTTTCTTCAAGTGCCTCCTTATTGTGCATCTTGATACATCCACGCCACTTTTTTTCAGAGACTCCTG